TTTTTTTTTTATATTTTTTTTCTTAACTTTATGCATAACTTTGATATAATTTTAAACACTTTCTCTCTCTTTCTCTCTCTCTTAGTTTATAATGCTTATAATTTATATTAATATATATATATATATATATATATTATTTTACTTCGTCACCTTTTAATATAATTGTATATTTATATCAAACTTTAATTAATTACGTTTATAAATTTTTTTTTTTTTGTTTTTCCCCGTGAAATTTATTTTTAAAAAAAATTTCGATTACACAAAATATGTTTAACCGTTTTCGAAAACAACATCTTAAATCTTATAGAAAAAATTACTCTCATTCATTACAAACGCGTTTTTCCCCCCCAAAAAAAGGTAATTTTTTTACTTTAAAAAAGTTTAAAATAATGAAAAAATAATAATAATTATTATTATTATCATTATCATTATTATTATTATTTTATTTCACGCTTACGATCGCAAAAAAAAAAAAAAAAAAAAAAAAAAACAAAAAAAAACGTATTTAAAAATTCCTTAATTTATTTACCTTATAAAAAAGTAAACAAAACCACGTTTCGGGGGGGGGGTTTCCATTTAAAAATTTAAATACCCAAAAAGAAACATTCTGATTGGTTGAAAAATGAATTTCCGATTTTATTCGTATACCTTCTTCTCTTCCCTTTCCGTTCTCTTTTACGCTAATTGATTTTTACGAAGTTTACCGATCGTTTCCGAACTTTTTCATTTATACGTAAACAAATAACGAAAAAGGAAAAGAAGGTTTATCCTTTTTATTATTATTATTATTATTACGTTTATGTTTTTATGTTTTGTTTTGTTTTCGTTATTGTTGTCATTTTTTTAAAATATTTCCATGAATGATTTTTATTTATTTATTTAATATAATAATAATAATAATAAAATATCGAAAAGCGTATTTTGTGATGGAGTAAAATACGTCGGTGGTGGTGGGGGGCGGTTAAAATTAAGATTGAAAATGTCAAAAACGTTGATTTGGCGTTAAATTAAAACAAAATTTTTGAATTTTTGTACGTAAAACAAAAAACAATTAATTATAAAATGTAAATCAGGTATTTAAGGAAGGAAGGATGGATGGATGGATGGATGGAAGGAATCATTTTCTGTGGGTGTGATATAATGATTTGAATAAAAGAACAAAAGGAAAACATAAGGGAAAAAAAAAATTAACATCTCGTTGGAATTTTTCAACAAAACGTTCAATTTTCAAATTTTCTTAGAGTATTTAAACCTTTGACCAAAATAAACAAATCCATAGAGTAAAAAAAAAAATGAGTTCGATTGTAAAAAGGTTGTAGTTATTATACGGGATCCCCTTTTAAAATAAATTCAATTTCTATATCTTGTAGTAAAAATTTTCGTTAAAAATTATTTCGATGATGATAATAATAATGATAATAATAATAATGATAATTATAATAATGATAATAATAATAATGATAATAATAATAATGATAATAATAATAATGATAATAATGATAATAATGATAATAATAATAATGGTAATTAAAATCGACGTACACGTCATGTATTCGATATTTGTGTTAATCAAATATTGAGTTGTTTTAAAAACACTTTAAACCACTTTAACACGAAAATGATCTAAGTAGTAACACATTGTTTCCTTTTATTAACCTATTATTATTAAAACCTTTGATTTTTTACCTTTGAGAAATAAAATGGATGATTTCGTATTTTGATATATGTAAAATCCGTGTAACTATTGACACGTCAAACGGGTTTCGTATTACGGTTTTAATTTTTTCTTTTTTTTGTTTTTGTTTTGTTTTTAATAAAAAATGACGGAAAAAAATCATCGTGGCAGCAATCAAACGAGTTAATTTATTAATAATAATAAAATTTTAATAAACTTTTCTCATAATAATCAAAAAAAAAAAAAGTTTTTTTCTTCCTTAAAATGTCTTTTGTTTATCCATAAAAAAAAAATAAGCAAAAAATTTCAAGTTTTAAAAAAAAGTTTTTTTTTTTTTTTATGTTTTCGATGTTGATGTTTTTGTTTTTGTCATTTTGCCGTTTTCATTTGATTTCGTAATAATAATAATAAAAAAAAAAAAATAATAATAATGTTAAAAAAATTATAAAACTAAAAAATAAAAAAAAATGTTAAACTTTTTTTTTTCTATTTTTTTCTGTTTTTTTTTTATAACGTGCGTGAAACGTTTTAAAAAATAAAATGACGTCAGAGATTTCCAAGAAAACTTTTATTATTATTATTAATATTATTCAAAAAATTTCCGACGTGGTTGTTTTTTATAATTAATGAAAAACAATTAAAATAATAATTACCAATGGTAATGTTGTAATAATAATTATTAATAATAATGATTTAAACATTAAATAAAAGAGGAAACGAGAGAATAATAATAATAATAATTTGCACACACAAAGAAAAAGTAAAAAAAAACAAGAGGAAAAACGTATAAAACGGAAAATGAAATAGTGAGAATAGTGAGGAAATGTATTTCCGGTTTTGAATTTCTGGACATGAATTCGAACAAAGAAATAAAAGTTTGGAGAGAGAAAAAAAAAAGTAAATTTTTTGGGGAGAAACAAGAAGTAAAAAAAAAAAAAATAAATTTATAACCTTTTCTTTTCTATATCAGTTTTTTTTTAGTTCCGGTAAAAACAAATCGATTTTTACGTGCCGCATAGTGGAATTAATATTTAAAATACGTGTCGTCAATATTTATCTAAAACCACGACAATATACTTAAACAAATATTTAAAATTCACACATAAATAAAATCAACTTTTTGTTTCCCCCCCCCCCCCCACGATAATATTCACGATTTAAATTGCGTTTTTTACACGTAAAATTT